CTTTCCATGTGGGTCAGCCCCCCAGAGCATTGTACTACTGCTGCCACCAGCCTTTGGCCTTCAGAATATTCATTTTTTAACAAGTGCCCATGTAATTTGAATGCAAGTGTCCAAGGACTATACTTTGAAAACATCAAAGACTGGTTGTATTAGTTGACTATTGCTACAATAACTCTATACATACAGAAAGTATGGCTTACAATAACAAATTTGTTTTGTTTTGTTCCATGGGTCTGCAGATAGATCACAACCCTGCTACTGTGCTTGACTAGATTTCTGGCTCAGAGTTCCAACCTGCCCACTGCTGGCCTTGGCTATAGGCTTCAGGCCAAGTTCCACGGGTGTTTATTCTGGAGTCCAGCCTGAAGGGGTCAGAGGCTTTCGGGAGAGCTCATTCATGTGATATGGTTATCAGAGGAGTACCCAAGGAAGCCATGCCTCTTAAATTTTTTAAGACCTTATTGCATCACAATCTCTAGCATTCCTTGGACAAATTACACAGCCAAGCACAAATCAAAATATACCTCATCCTTGGTGGGAAGAAGGGTCAGGACCAAGTCTTTAAATCCCACCTACTCTAGTGGTTAAGGGCACAGGCTTTGGCACCAGACAGATTTGGGTTTGCATCCCTGCCCACGTGACTTCAGGAATTTACCAAATATATCTATTGCTCCTCATTGTTGCATTGAGATGACCTTCATAAAAAAAAAAATAAGCATTTTTTGATCAACTTTAATATTTGAGTTAGAAGAAACTAACAGTAGAGAGTCAAATGTCTATTACAACACACTTACTGATGAGGTGTTAAAGCTGCTTTCTAGCAGTACCACTCTTCAGTGAAACGCACACTGGTATAAGCTGGAAAATCAAGTCATAGCTCTTTTGCATGCCTTTATTAATGTGTTGTTCACACTCCTTTGTGCTCATTTAGACATGGGATTTGATCACTCTTTTTTTTTTAAGAGATTTTTGCTATAGGGTGCATGCACTCACCGGAGAGACAGAGACAGACAGTGAGAAATCACCCCCCAGGGGATGGCCGTGGCTGCAGTCCATTGTCCTCCATTCTCCTCTCGGCATCTTGGGGATGCATGCACATGTGCCTGGTATATATTTTAAGCTGTCAGGTCTGGGACTCGAACCAGGGTCAATCACATGGTAGTCCAGCGATGTAACCATTATGCCATCCCTGGACATAGGATTTGAAAAGATTCACTTCTTTTTCTTAAGAGAGATTTTTGCTAGAGGGCATGTGTGCTCACTGGAGAGACAGAGGGAGACAGAGAGACAGAAAGTGAGATATCACCTCCCAGGGGGGCTGGCCATGCCGCAATCCCTTCTCTTTCATGCTCCTCTTGGGATTTTGGACACACACGTGCACGTGCTCGGAACGAGGTTTAAGCCACCGGGTCCAGAACTTGAACTGCAGTCTGCTACGTGAGAGCCCAGTAACGTAACCATTACTCCATCTGCTGGTTCCCAGACACACTTTTTTCGTAGTGGATTTTTCTTTTTCTTCCCCAAAGAAAATAGATTCAATAATTATCATAATTGTTTAAAAGATTTAAATTTTTAAAAGCACAACCCAAAATAGATTAGTGGGGTTTTCCAATAATTTTACCTGGTTTCATGTTATTTTTTAACTTTTTATTGAACTGTAAAGCATTAAAACACACAGGAACCTCTTTAACAGAATCAAGGATTTTTACAATACAATTTTTACTGATGGATTCTAGACTAAATCCGTCATTGAAGAATAGAATAGAAGCACACATAGCACTTTGCTGGGACTGCCATAA